CCACTGCACTCCAGTCTGGGCGACAGAATGAGACTCCAACTCAAAATAAAAAATAAATAAATAAAAATTCACATTAAGAAGGGTTACAGGGAATCCTTTTTTTTTTTTGAATTGGAGTCTCACTCTGCCACCCAGACTGGAGTGCAGTGGCATGCTCCTGGCCACCACAGCCTCAACCGGCGATCCTTCTGCCTCAGCCTTCCAAGTAGCCGAAACTACAGGCGTGCACTACCATACCCGGCTAATTTTTTATTTATTGTAAAGATGAGGTCTCACCAAGTTGCCCGGGTGGGTCTCAGACCCGCAGGCTTAGGCAATCCGCTTGCCTCAGCCTTCCAAATCGCTGGTATTACAGGCTGAGCCACCGAGCCCGGTCAGGGAATCCTGTTTATTCTACTGTGTAAGGCAATTTTCTTGACTGTTTCTTTAGGTCAGCCTAAGATCTTCTAGAAGACCTTTACACTTCGTGTGTATTATAGATTTTCTCTGATGCTTCAGGATTGCCCTGGGGATTGAGTCTCTTGAATGCCTTAAGTTAGCTCTAGACATGGGGAACCCAGTCCCTTCCTGTTTTCCCAGTCTACATCTGCAGCCCTCGCTGTACAGAGATCTTTGGGTCCTTAAGGTATTATTTTGTTACATCTCATTAAATACTGAAAACTCAGAGGTTTCTGCCTCTAGCACAAGGCCTTTTCACCCTGGTGTTTTGATGTTATTGTTTTACATACTATAACAAAAGAAGGAGACTATTTTATCAAACTATTTAATTCATCAGTTGAAGTAATTCTAGTACATTTAAATGTTAGCTTTATTAAATTTATTAAATGTTAGTATTCTCCTTGCACTGGCAGGAGCCATTCCACAAGTGGAATACTTGAGCTCATCAGAGTCGCGTCTGTGAACAGTTGTGATTCCAATACTTCACTATAGAACAAAGCCGCTAGGGTTATCGGTTCCTGCTGTATATCTGGTACTGCTGTGGCAGGTGCTTTACTTGCCTTTTTTTTTTTTTTTGAGTGAGAGTCTCACTCCGTCGTCCAGGCTGGAGTGCAGGGGCACGCTCCCGGCCACTGCAACTTCGACCTGCTGGGCTCTGGGGAACCTTCTGCCTCAGCCTTCCAAGTAGCTGGAACTACAGGTGCTCACCACCATGCCTGGCTAATTTTTTAAATTTATTGTAGAGATGAGGTCTCGCCCAGTTGCCCGGGCTGGTCTTGAATCCTTGGGCTCAGTACTTGTATTTTAAAATTTAATTTCACAATAATTCTAGCACCATGGCTCTGCTATCCTCATTTACAGATTAGGCAACTGGGGCTCAAGACGGCTAACTAGGGCCCAAGATCACATAGCTAGTTAGTGGTGGAATGTGGATTAAAATACATTTTACTCTGCCTACAACTGTGTGGGTATAAATATGTGTGTTAAAATCAAAACAAGCCAGGCACAGTAGCTCACGCCTGTAATCCCAGCTTTTTGTAAGGCGGAGGTGAGAGGATTGCCTGAGCCACAGGGGTTCAAGACCAGCCTAGGCAACTTGGCGAGACCTCATCTCTACAATAAACCAAAAAATTAGCTGTGCATGGTGACAGACGCCTATAGTTCCAGCTACTTGGAAAGCTGAGGCAGAAGGATCACCTGAGCCCAGCAGATCAAGACTGCAGTGGCCGTGAGCATGCCACTGTGCTGCAACCTGGGTGACAGAGTGAGACTCCAACTCAAAAAACAACAGCAACAAAAAAAAACATACTGTAGCAGGGCAAGTTAGAGATAGAGACAGGACATTTGTCTGCCGATTTCATTTCTTTAAGATTTTAGGCCATTGCCAGAACATCGCTGCCCTTGCCTTGCTAAGCTATGGTATGGCCATGTGCTCTTTGAGCTATGACCAGGCCATGTTTCCTGCTTTGTCCCCCTACCCTACCTTGGGGAGGTGAATCTTCTCTTTTTCTCTTTCTTTCTAATTTAATTTCTAAGTAAACTATATTTTTCTAATCTTGAAAAATATATATTTTAATGTATTCGTTACAAGTTCACAAAATATAATTTATGAGAAAATGTTATATAAGTTAGATTTACCTAAATTTTAGGTAGGCACTGTGTTGATCAGTTAATGTTTATGACATTGTTATGTGTCACTTTAGGGTATATAAGTAGCAAGAATTCTAAGTGTTTTAGCTTTCTTTTTTATGCCCGTTCTCTTGACCTTTTTAAATTAAATGCTTCTTAAATACTTAGGAAACAGATTAAAATGTGTGTATGAGTTACGACTACATGGGTGTTAGCATAATTGTAAAATTCTATTTTATTAAATGTAGAATCAGAATATTCAGCTAAATATGTTGTTTGCAATCCTATTGTTGGAAAAAAATAGGAAGTTAAATTTGCTCCCTTTCCTCCACCAAATAACTGGAGTCTACATTCTAAAGTATAATTTAATGAAAACAAGCATTTATTTCTTTTTAACCTACCAAACTTTTATAAAGCACTTACTGGGTGTCAGGCAATATTCTAAGCACTTTATCTGTTTTTACTCAATGAATCTTCTATCTGTATTTACTCAATCACTGTCCGATTTTGGAGAAGGGAAACTGAGGCACATGGAGGTGGAGTTACTTACCCGCAGACATACAGCTGGGTCAGTAGTAGAGCCAGGATTTCAGCACAGCAGTTTAACAGTGGAGTTCATGCTCTTAACCTCTGGCATCTTGCTTTTTATTCTTTCTTTTTTTGTTGTTGTTGGAGTCTCACTCGGTCGCCCAGACTGTAGTACAGTGGCCGCTCCTGGCCACTGCAGCCTCCACCTGCTGGGCTCCGGCAATCCTTCCACCTCAGCCTTCCGAGTAGCCGGAATTACAGTCACACGCTACCACGCCTGGCTGATTTTTTGATTTACTGTAGAGATGAGGTCTCGCTGCCCGGGCGGGTCTGGAACCCGCGGGCTCAGGCCATCCACTCACCTCAGCCTCCCAAAGGTACGGGATGACAGGCTGAGCCACCGAGCCCGGCTGCTTTTTATTATTTCTAACTTCTCTTGCAGAAATAGAAAAATGGACCACTTAGGAAATGTATTAGGTAGCCTTGGATGTTTGCTGGGCTAACGTAGTGAAGGAGTGTGGACTCCAGAAGCCTAGTTAGAAATAATTCTTGGGGAGGTTGTGAGGCCAGTTTCCTGCTGGGGGAGGTTGGCCTGAGCTGGTGGTCGACCAAGGAACTGGGGAAGGCCCGAAAGCGGCTCATGGGCGGCTCCTCCTCCAGTGCAAGTTCTGGCTGGCTGCCTGCCTGTGCCTTGAGGATTGTTGCCCACGCTTCCAGAGTGAGGTTCCTTGTACTGACAGGGCAGTAATTTTAGAGGCTGGAGCTGTGAGGATACAGGGAGCTCACCAGGTGCTCAGCTCCTAGATGTCTTGCGAAGGTTTAGAATAGAGCTGTTAGCTCTAAAATCTGAAGTAGTAGTATCTCATCTAAAAATAACTACACAGTCACCACCCAAACCAGTTTCTGCTCTCCCCTGGTGACTGCACAGACACATCTTGCACTCTGTGTGTTGCTGCCTTCTTTCTACATGCTGCTCACATTAGTGTATCTGGCACAGACACTTTTGACTGAGTGGTGAATGTATGAATGACCCTTCAGTTAGAGCAGGAGAGAGAAAGGTCTCATTAGAAGAAATGGATTACCCTGCCCACGCCTGCAATCCCTGCACTTTGGGAGGCTGAGGCGGGAGGATCACTTGAGTCCAGGAGTTTAAGACTAGCCCGGGCAACATAGAGAGACTTCATCTCTACCAAAAAAAAATCAAAAAATTAGCTGGATGTGGTGGCGCACACCTGTAGTCCAGCTACTTGGGAGGCTGAGGTTGGAGGATCACCTCAGCTCAGGAAGTCAAGGCTGCTGTGAGCTGTGATCATTCCACACGGCGACAGAGTGGGACTCCTACTCAAAAAAAAATAACAACGGATACTCACCTTTGGCTTGGGAAGGCGGGAAAAGTGGGTATGAAAGTCAGACTGGGTGCTTAGGCAGCCAGGTGACTGGAGGAGCTCTCTTTGGCTCTTTGGGGTGTTTGTGTGGAGCTGTGTAGTAAGCCACGCCCTCTCTCCAGGTGCTGTCCGCAGCCTCAGCCGCGGGTGTCTCTGTGGCTTTTGGCGCACCCATCGGAGGAGTCCTCTTCAGCCTGGAGGAGGTAGGTGAAGAATACAGCAGGCAGATCACATGTTGCCGTCACAAACTCATGTTGGCACATGTCTGCTTTAGGGCTGCTGTGATAGCTATACGGACTTTCTTTTTAAGTTTCCAGATGCGTTTTTACAAAGTTGTTTTTTGCTGATTCTTACATTAAAAAGTAAGTGCTATACATGTTTCATAGCTGGAGAAAAGTATTTTTAACTATTATTTGTGCATAAATAGTAGTAATTACTTAAAATTTAAATTGATTTTGTTGAAATATTTAAAAGAAAATTTGAATTGAACTTAGAAGACATCTAAAACAATCTATCCCTATTGACTAATAATAACCTTTGTTTTTAAATTTTTTAATCAATTTCTAGTTGTGTTTTGAAGTTTTTGTGATTATTTCTGATAGTTATTGATGTTTTAGGAAAGAGCATTAGTCATTTCAGTGAATAATTTTGTTTTTGTTTTCTCACTCGTGCTTAAGATTTTTTACACATTTACACAAACATGTGACGGGAGTGTTTTTAAATTTACTTATTTCTCCCAGTTGTTGGTGTTCTTTCTTCATCTTTTAATGTAGAAGAGGCAAATTAAATACATATTTTTAAGCTAACAGAAATTGGTGATAGTACATTTAAGTACCATGATGGAATTGGATGTGAAATTCATTTTGAAAATAAAACAATGCTGCTAGGTGTTCTAAATAATTATTACACATTTATGATCAATTGATATTGTGAATTTGTAATGATCACCATTGAAGAAGAAGATAAAACACCAATATTTTTCTTATTACAGTAAAATCCATCAATTATAAGTTCTAACTGTAGCAAAATTTAGAGCTTCACCATTCAAGTTATACAGGGGGAACCCTAAAAAAACACAGATTTATCTTTTGGAGAGCGGGTAATACAAGCTTCCTCCACTAGATATGTGTTCTAGGAACCCATTGTCATCGGTGTACCTCCTAGTGTTGTTGTAAGAGGCTGCGCTTGGCTTCAGTGAATTTTTTCTGGAGATTCTTTCAGTGCGTTTGCCCATTTCATGATGCGTAATTAATACAAACAACCTACCCACACCATGCTGAGTATTCAGTTTTTGGCCCAAAACAGCCTGAATCTGTGCCCTACCCTCCCTCTTTACCCATCTCACCCTGAGCAACTTTTTTGGTTCCCTTGATTGAAGAAAAGTCCTTACATGGAAACATTTTGCCAGTGTAGAAGAGGTGAAGCAAAAAATGGCAGTGGAAAAAGCATCTCGATAGGTGGATTGCATCAGACAGAGAGTACTTTGAAGGCAACTGAAGTTTAAACATATAAGAATAAATACACAGCCGGGCTCGGTGGCTCAGCCTGTCATCCCGCGCCTTTGGGAGGCTGAGGTGAGTGGATTGCCTGAGCCTGCGGGTTCAAGACCCGCCTGGGCAGCGAGACCTCATCTCTACAAGAAATCAAAAAATCAGCCGGGCGTGGTAGCGTGTGCCTGTAGTTCCGGCAACTTTGAAGGCTGAGGCGGAAGGATCGCCGGAGCCCAGCAGGTCGAGGCTGCGGTGGCCGGAAGCGGCCACTGCACTCCAGTCTGGGCGACGGAGTGAGACTCCAAAAAAAAAAAGAATAAATACACAATTATTTTAATAAAAAATTTTTTTGGGGGGGTTCCCCCTTGTAATATATCAGAAACATTTTATAAAATTATAGCATTAACTTTACTCTTCCTTTTCTTTTTTTAGGTTAGCTATTACTTTCCTCTCAAAACTTTATGGAGATCATTTTTTGCTGCTTTAGTGGCTGCGTTTGTGTTGAGATCCATCAATCCATTTGGAAACAGCCGTCTGGTCCTTTTTTACGTGGAGTATCACACACCGTGGTACCTTTTTGAACTGTTTCCTTTCATTCTCCTAGGGGTGTTTGGAGGGCTTTGGGGAGCCTTTTTCATAAGGGCAAACATTGCCTGGTGTCGTCGACGCAAGTCCACCAAGTTTGGGAAGTACCCCGTCCTTGAGGTCATTATTGTTGCGGCCATTACTGCCGTGGTAGCCTTCCCCAACCCATACACCCGGCTGAACACCAGTGAGCTGATTAAAGAGCTCTTCACAGACTGTGGGCCCCTGGAGTCCTCTTCTCTTTGTGACTACAGAAACGACATGAACGCCAGTAAGATCGTCGACGACATTCCTGACCGGCCTGCCGGCATCGGCGTGTATTCCGCGATATGGCAGCTGTGCCTGGCGCTCATGTTTAAGATCATAATGACGGTGTTCACCTTTGGTATCAAGGTGAGGGCCACGTGCCAGTGGTGTTCACTCATCTTGACGTGTTCAGAACTTATACGGGGGATGGCACCGGACCTTCCTCTTAAGGTTGTTTCATAGTCAGAAGAATGTTGCCTTTGGGGTTTAATTTTAAGTAATGAGAAAGATAATTCCTTAGCCTGTGTTGTTGAGCATGTTATTTGTTGCTGTGTAACAAGTTATCCCCAAAGTTGGCAGCTTAAGGGAACTACTTACTTTGGTTTTGCTATTGAGCCAGCAGTTTGGGGAAGGCTCAGCTGGGCATGTTGTGCTTATGGCCTTTCACACTGCTGGTATCGAAACTGGCCGGGGCTGGTCATCTCCAGACGCCTTCGTAGCACCTGCACTGGGACACCAGGGCTCTAGGATAGATGGGTCAGTCGCGCTCTCTCTCTCTCTCTCTCCCCCCCCATTGTATGATAGACTCAAGTGTGCCATTCTTCTGGGCGCTCCCTCTGTTTCGTGTCCAGGACAGTTCATAGCTGTTCGTTTTTCAGGAATCTTTAAGTGATCTTGCTGACGGTGTGCATCATTCCTGTTATCCTCATGACATTTAATCAAATCGTATTTTTCTCCTTTTAATTAATTCACTTATACGGCCACACCTCAGAGATATTGTGAGTTCTGTTTCAGACCACCACAATAAAAATGTGCATACCTTAGTTTAAAAATACTTGATTGCTAAAAAGTGCTCACAATGGTCTGAGCCCTCAGTGAGTTGTGAGTGGTAATCTTGCTGTCTCGATGTTGATGCTGCTGACTGATCAGGGCGTTGGCTGCCAAAGGTCGGGGTGGTTGTGGCAACTTCTTAAAATGATACAACAATAAAGTTTGCTGCATCCGTTGACTCTTCCTTTCGCAGAAGATGTATGCTGTTTGATGGCACTTTACCCATGGTAGCATGTCTTTCAAAATTGGAATCAGTCCTCTTAAGCCTGCTGCTGCTTTTTATCAACTAAGTTTATACACTGTTCTTTGTCATTTCCACACCGTTCACAGCATCTTAGCCTGGAGTCGATCCCATCTGAAGAAACCGCATTCTTTGCTCGCCCGTAAGATGCCACTCCTCATCCATTCGAGCTTCCTCGTGAGAGTGCAGCAACCCAGTCACACCTTCAGGCTCCACTTCTAATTTCCCTTCTCTTGCTGTTTCCATCACGTCTGCGGAGACTTCCACCACTGAAGTCTCAAGCCCCTCAAAGTCACTCATGAGGATTGGAAGATTAGCTTCTTCCAAACTCCTGTCAGTGTTGATATTTTGACCTCTTTCCTTGAATAACGAATGTTCTTTTTTTTTTTTTTGAGTTGGAGTCTCACTCTGTCGCCCAGACTGGAGTGCAGTGGCCGCTCCCGGCCACCGCAGCCTCGACCTGCTGGGCTTCGGCAATCCTTCCGCCTTAGCCTTCCAAGTAGCTGGAACTACAGGCGCACGCTACCACGCCTGGCTGATTTTTTGATTTATTGTAGAGATGAGGTCTCGCTGCCCAGGCGGGTCTCGAACCTGCGGGCTCAGGCAATACGAATGTTCTTAATGACATCAAGAACAGCAAATCTTTTCCCAAATCCATCACAGGAATCACTGTCTGTGGCAGCTATTGTGTCATGAAATGTATTTCTTCACTAAGGCTTAAAGGTTGAAATGACTTCTTGATCTGTGGGCTGCAGAACGGATGTTGTGTACTGGAAAGAAAGCAGCATTCATTTCTGAAAATTGTCCACCAGAGCTCCTGGGTGACCAGTGCATTGCCAATGAGCAGTCACATTTTGAAAGTATTTTTTTCTTGAAGAGTAGGTTTTAATAGTGGGCTTAAAATAGTACGCCATGATGTAAGCAGACATGTTGAAACTTACACTTTGTTGTCCCATTTCTAGAGTATAGGCAGAGTAGAGTGAGCATATTTCTTAAGGGCTGTAGGATTTTCAGAATTTACCATTGGCTTCAACTTGGGTCCTTCTGCATCAGCCCCTAACAAGAGTGTCAGCCTGAAGCTTCGAAGCCAGGCATTGACTTTTCCTCTCAAGCTATGAAAGTCCTAGGTGGCATCTTCTTCCAGTAGAAGGCTGCGTTGTGCACACTGAATATGTGGTGTCTCGTGTAGTCACTTTTATCGATACTCTACCTAGAGTTTCTGGAGAACTTGCTCCAGCTTCTCCACCAGCACTTGCTTCTTCGCCTTGCACTTGCATGTTACAGAGATGCTTCTTTCTCGAAACTCCGTGGATCGTGTTTCTCCCGGAGGCTCCTCGCCTCTCTGAGCCTTCATAGAATGGAATAGAGCTGAGGCCTTGCTCTGGGTGGGGCTTTGGCTTAAGGGAACGTCACAGCTGGTTTGATCTTCTCTCCAGACCACTGAGACGTTCTCTCTCAGCAGTAATATCGTTTCACTTTCTTGTCGTTCATGTGTTAACTGGAGTAGCACTTTCCATTTTCTTCAGTAACTTTTCCTTTGCATTCACAGTTTGGCTGCTTTGCACGAGAGGTCTGGCTTTCAGCGTCTCTCGGCTCTGATATCCTTCCTTGCCAAACTCAATCACGTCTGGAGTTTTACTTAAAGTGAGAGATGTGTGACTCTTCTTTTCACTTAGAAGCCACTGTAGGGTTATTAACTGGCCTAATGTAATGTTGCTGTACCCAGAGAGGAGGGAGACCTGAGGAGTGGGGGAGGGTGGGGGTGGCCAGGGCCAGTCAGTGGAGCCCTCGGGACACACGCAGCACTTGCTGAGTTCTCTGTCTTACACGGGGGCAGCTCATGGTGCCCTGGAGCAACTACAGTAGGACCATCCAAGGTGCTGGGCGCAGATCACCTTAACAGATGTAGTAAAAGAGAGAACGTTTGAAATATTGTGATAATTACCGAAATGTGATGCAGACGTGAAGTGAACACAGGCTGTTGGACAGGTGGTGCTGAGTGACATACTTGAAGCAGGGTCTTGTGAGAGCCGGTCAGGCAAAGCCCAGCACAGTGAGAGGCCTGCCCAAGTTGGGTGTGCGGTCAGATAGCCGCGTCACACACCTCTCACCAGGAGGAGCAGCTCCTCTCCAGCCTTCTGTAAATGTACGGGCAACATGGTCTTGAAGTCGAGTGCAGTGCTTCAGGCTGAACTGATCCAGTTTTATGGGAAATGTTTTCAACTATATATACTGCCCTTTCTCCTCTTTCATTTCGCGCCGGGCTGATGAAGATCTCGTTAGGGACTGGCATTCGGGCACTCCTGAGCTAAAGCCTTGCTGGCCGCAGAGGAACTCCCTCTGGCCGAGAGCGGTTTGTTGCTTGGTAACTGCACAGAGTCACGTGGCAACACAGGCTTGGGCCTGCAGCCTGAGGCGTGAGGCCCTGGGCCCAGCGCAGTCCTGTCTCCGCAGGTGCCCTCGGGCTTGTTCATCCCCAGCATGGCCATCGGCGCGATCGCGGGAAGGATCGTGGGCATCGCCGTGGAGCAGCTGGCCTACTACCACCACGACTGGTTCATCTTCAAGGAGTGGTGCGAGGTCGGGGCGGACTGCATCACTCCTGGCCTCTACGCCATGGTCGGGGCCGCCGCGTGCCTGGGTAATGCCGTCGGCGTGGGTGGGCGCGGCCTCGCGGGGGGTGGGCAGGAGCACCCCGGGCGGGGGCGGGGCTGGAGCGCGGGCGCGGAACCGCCAAGGGGCCGCCTCCGCAGGGCAGCGCGAGCCGCGAGGCTGTGCGCCCCGCAGCGCCGCGGTGTCGGCCCGCCGTGGCCGAAGGTGGTTTGCCGGTCCTGCCCCATCGACGGTGCAGGCACAGCAGAATGAGAAGCCGGTAACTGTCTGTGTTACTGAAAAAAGCAAAGTATCCGCCTTGAGTACTTGCGTTCACTGTTCTGGGGGCATGAAGAATAGCTCTGTTTGTATTTAAAGCGTTAGCTAAACTTCTGTTCTAATGCACAAGAATAGCCTCTTGACTGTCTTTGTGTGATTGGTCTTCAGAAGCGACCGTCACAAAGTAGCAAGTATGTAGGAAGCTCCCCTTCGTTTTAGCACCGGACTGGCTACCGCGAGTAATGGGACAGGACGAGTGAAGCAAGGAGCAGGCGCGCGCCGGAGACGGGCAGGCGGAGCCGGCCCGGTGACGCCCTCCGCGCTGAGTCCAGAGCACTGCTCGACGTCGGGGCGGGCAGAGCTAGAGTCAGTGCCGGTAGAGCATGAGCGTTTGTTTCCAGAACGCGTCTGTTTTTCTCTTTTTTCTTTTTCTTTTTTGAGTTGCAATCTTACTCTGTCACCCTGGCTGTAGTGCAGTAGCATGATTACAACCCCCACAGCCTCAAGCTACTGGGCTCCCGCAATCCTTCCGCCTCAGCCTTCCAAGTACTTGGAACTACAGGCACGTGCCACCATGTCCGGCTAATTTTTTTATGCATTGTAGAGATGAGGTCTGGCTCTGTTGCCCAGGCTGGTATCAAACCCATGGGTTCAGGCAGTCTTCTTGCCTCTGCCTCCCAAGGGGCTGGAATTACAGGCATGAGCCACTGCGCACAGCTAGGGACTTGTACATTTAAGAATAGATGACTTGAGGGCCAGCCGCGGTGACTCAAGCCTATAATCCCAACACTTTGGGAGGCCAAGGTGAGTGGATTGCCTGAGCCCATGGGTTCGAGAACAGCCTGGACAACTTGGTGAGACCTCATCTCTACAATAAACAAACAAATAAATAAGTAAAATCAGCCCGGCATGGTAGCACACGCCTATAGTTCTGGCTACTTGGCAGGCTGAGGTGGAAGGATTGCCAGAGCCCAGTGGGTCGACACTGGCGTGGCCATGAGAATGCCACTGCACTCTAGCTTAGTCGACGGAGTAAGACTCCGACTCAAAAAAAAAATGACTTGAGGTGGCATGGGAAGACGACTGGGATGGTAGGCTGGCATCCAGGGGCTTAGAGGAAGCAGACTCCAGTGGAGAGCTTTTGGGAAAGGAGGCCAGACTGGGGAGAAGCAGCAGATTGTAAAAAGACACGGAAGTCAGTTGTTCAGGATGGGTTTATATTTGGAATTGGCCAGATTTGTGGCAGCCTGGCTTTGCCATCTTGAACTTAATGACTTGGGGGAAGTTCCTTTCATTTCTTATTTTTCGTCTACGAAACATAGATGAGATAACACCAGTTAATCTCCTGTGATTGCTTTGAGGATTATATGAGTTCACATGCATGTCAGGCTGCCAGCCAGCAGAGTGTGTGGTGAAGTCAGTGGCTAGTTTGAAAGAAAAGCCCTTGTGAACGGATGAGGACATGCCTGGCATAGGGTAGACACGCCATGTACAACAGGTTCTTTTCCCTTCTACTTTCAGGTTAATGTACGAAAAGGAAGAGTGAGCTTATTACAGCTTGAGTTGGCATGCCCTGGAGGACTTTGAGCAGAGGAGCAGCACGGGGAAAGTAGACTTGGGAGGGTGAACATGGAGACGGCTCACAGAGGGGGTGAAGGGAATGGAGCCTGGAGTAAGGACGCAGGATTAAACAGTATCAAAGTTTAGGAACAGTGGGCATGGTGGTGTATGTCCATAATTCCGGCTATTGGGGAGGCTCAAGCTAGGGATTTCATGAACCCAGGAGTTTAAGGCAGCCTGGGCAAGGTAGCAAGACTTCCAATCTTTAAAAACAGAAAACAAAAAGATAAAATTAAGGAACGAAGTCTTGAGGACCTGAACTAGGTTGGTAACAGTGAGAATATTAGGGAGACCTGTAGGCAGATTTTACAGGTGAAATCAGGTTGGACTTGCTGCAGTCTAGCTGTGGAATAAGTAAAGGGATGACCCAAGAGTGGCTGCCTAGGCTATTAGAAAGAACATGGCGCCTGGTGGAGTCAGGGAAGTTTGGAAGGGGAGTCATTTGGGAAAGAAGAGAACTGTGGTTTTAAGTGCATGGTGTGTTCTGTGACAGCAGGTCATCCGAAGTCTTTGCAGTTGGAAGATGAGACAAAACCAGCAGAAAGATATGGATGCCTAACTTGAGACAGGGGACAAGGGCAACAGTAAATAGGAGGGTGTGGGTTAGGGAGACATCACCATGGAGATGGCAGGTGAGCACGATGACTTAGGGATCGGACGGATGAGTCTATTTTGAGTGCACGTTACATCACTAGTGTAAATCACAAGGCACCAAAACACTTTGCTCATCTTGAAAACACTTAGAGGAGGGAAATGTGCTAGTATCCCATATTCGTATGTGAATGTGTATATGTGTATAAGGTCCAACAGTTAGGGTTGCGAACTACCCTAGAAAAAGCACTCTATACCCCATTGCCCAGTCTCACTACAGTCACCTCCAAAGTGCATCCCTTGGGAAGCTACGCACCTAGGCCAGTGCCTGGTCTGCCTGTCGGAGCAGCTTTGGAATTCCCTTTCTGGAATGGACATCAGAGCCGTCATTGTTACTTGTTCCAGTGTGACAATTAAGTTTGCAAACTTGCCATCGTGCACTTACCTTGGCAGCCCTGTACAAATTATTGGAACATCCTGCCTGCTCACCTGACTTTTTTCTTTACCTGAAGATGAAGGAAATACTGAAAAGAATACATTTGATGACATTCAGGACATCACAGGTAATACGATGATGGCTCTGAAGGCCATTCCAGAAAGAGAGTTACAAAATGGCTTTGATGAATGGAGCAGGTGCCACTGTCAGGGCAGAGCATCTCAAGGGGAGTACTTCAAAGGTGACCGTAGTGATACTCAGCAATGAGGTATGTAGCACTTTTTCTAGGATGAGTTTGCAGACTTAGTGTTGGACCTCGTATATATTGTAAATGGGTAGCAAACAAGATAACAGTGATATACCTCACATTCCTGAAGAATCAGAATAAACTTTTATGAGAGTGAGATTATGTATTTGCTGCAGGGTATACCAACACAGCAGAATTGTTGGTTGATCAGCTTTGGTTTTTTATGAGATAGACAGATTTTGAAATCTTATCTTAACATTCTGTATTATAAACAGAGAGGATGGGTGTTTCTCTAGATCTTATTAAAAATAGTGGTTATTGTCCTAAGAGAGGAGTAGTCCATTTTTGATAATGCTTTTCCCTAAGTCCTAAGTTCTGCTTACAGTTTTGTCTTCAATTGCCTTGTGCAAAGTTCTAGTAACATGCAATAACCAGGATCCTGTCCTTTCTTACCAGTAGTTCTGATTTTTTTCAGGTGGTGTGACAAGGATGACGGTCTCATTGGTGGTTATTGTTTTTGAGCTCACTGGAGGTTTGGAATACATTGTTCCCCTCATGGCTGCAGTGATGACCAGTAAATGGGTTGGAGATGCCTTCGGAAGGGAAGGAATTTACGAAGCGCACATCCGATTAAACGGATACCCCTTCTTGGATGCAAAAGAAGAGTTCACCCACACCACCCTGGCTGCTGATGTCATGAGACCCCGAAGAAATGATCCTCCCTTAGCCGTCCTGACACAGGATAATATGACAGTGGATGATATAGAAAACATGATTAATGAAACCAGCTACAATGGATTTCCTGTCATCATGTCAAAAGAATCTCAGAGATTAGTGGGATTTGCCCTCAGAAGAGACCTGACGATTGCAATAGGTACTCTTTTAAAAATACACACATACACACACACACACACACACACACACACACACACACACACACACACGATAGATTTCTAGAAAAAAGGAAAGCAATGCAATTTCATTGGTTGGGTTTTTGGGGAAAGGGACATTATTTTATGTTCCTAGGAAAGGAATTTACGCCTCAGCGATTTCTTTTGACTGGGAATTGTTATCAGAAATTAGAGTCAGATCCTCTTTTTTCCCACTCAGGTAATCCTTGTTAAGCTAGTTACTCATATTAGCATGTAGTATAAGACCTTAGCTAAATACGTAATAAAGTTGGGTTATTTGAATGCAAGTTACGGAAAATCCCTAGTTAGGTTTACAATATTAATTTATAATATCTAGTTTAAAGTGAAAAAGATCACTGAGACTTTGTGTCTGATAGAGTGCCAGGTTGAAAACACGTATCAGGGCCGGGCTCCGTGATTCAAGCCTGTAATCCCAGCACTTTGGAAGGCCGAGGTGAGGGGATTACCGGAGCTCACAGGGACGAGAACAGCCTGGGCAACTTGGTGAGACCTCATCTCTACAATAAATTAAAAAATTAGCTGAGTGTGGTAGTGTGTGCCTATAGTTCTGGCTACTTGGAAGGCTGAGGCAGAAGGATCGCCTGAGCCCAGCTGGTCGACGCTGGGGTGGCTGTGAGCATGCCACTGCACTCCAGCCTGGGCGACAGAGTGAGACTTCCAACTCAAAAAAGAAAAGAAAAGAAAGAAAACGCCTATCAGTCCTATTGTACTTTATGCCGACATTCCTGAAAATACAGTTGAAAGATATTAGCCGTATTATGAATCTTGGAGAAAAATGAAACTTCTTCTACAGAGGAAGCAATTATGTTCTTCCAAAATTCATCTTTCCTTTACCTTGTAGTCCTGTGGTGTTGATGAGGAGACCAGTAAGACTTTTAATTCTTTCAACACGATCTGATTGCTTTCTCCCAGCCCCCAAGGATGATAAAGGATGGACACATCCAACCATTGCTTGTGACTCTCAGTTTTCAGTACAGGACCCTGAATGGAAGTGTCAAGCACTTGGCCTTTCCCAAAGGTCATTCTTGGGAGCATACATCTCCCTTCCAGCTTCCTCTGTAGCCATTGCAAAGGGTTGTAAAATAATTATTTTGTCATTTGGAGAGGGAAAGCAGGCAGTGTTTGATAGAGTATTTCTCAACTCAAACGGGCAACTCTTAGTTTGCAAGACAGAGAGAGAGAGAGAAGAGGGGAAAGAAAAAAGATCCTACAGAGAACACCCTGTTCAGTTTAGGAAAAGGCAACAGTTTCAGAAGGATTTTTCAAATTTAGCTTAGGTAATGCAACAACAGAGTATTCTGTCAGACTTGCCTGTGTTCAAGCATTTTGAATGCTAAGCCATTACCATGGCCAAACCTAGTCAGAAAATAATTTCACTAAGATTCCCATCCTCTGGTTTCTTCTAGTAGCCAAAGAAAAGGAAAAGAAAGTCAGAAGTTTGGAATTTACATAGAAATTTAAAGGGAAAAGGCCAGTTTTTTTAATAGATAAAGAAAGTGGCCGGGCTCAGTGGCTCAGACTATAAACCCACGCCTTTGGGAGGCTGAGGTGAGTGGATTGCCTGAGCCCGCGGGTTTGAGACCCACCTGGGCAGCAAGACCTCATCTCTACAATAAATCAAAAAATTAGCCGAGCATGCTAGCGCACTGTAGTTCAACTACTTGGAAGGCTGAGGTGGAAGGATCGCCGGAGCCCAGCAGGTCGAGGCTGCGGTGGCCGGGAGCGGCCACTGCACTCCAGTCTGGGCGACAGAGTGAGACTCCGACTCAAAAAAAAAAAAGTGGTGAAATTAAGAATCATTCATTATCCTACTGATTCTGTGGACATATTTTTAAAAGTTTTGCCACTGTCTTGAGAGGATATTGGGTTAGGAGATAACATTGGTTTAAGGGAATAAGGGCACTATCCATGTGTGAAATATCAACTTGTCTTCAGAAACATTATGTGGCTTTTTGAACACACCTTAAATATTAACCCACATATATTTTTGTAAAGTTTTAAATTTTTGACTGGGAAACAGACCTGTACACTAAATTTTTTACATGTGTACATGTATGTGTGTGTGTGTACAGTAAAATTACATCATATATATTATAAACATATAAGAGGTCTGACAATTAGGTTCACAAACCATCCTAGAAAAAATGCTACATACCTCACTGCTGATTATCACTACAGTCACTTTCGAAGTACTCACCTTGGGAATCTATGCACCAACTGTCAAAGCAGTTTTGGAACTCTGGAGAATGACCATCAGAGCTGTAGTCATTATTTGTTGAGGTGTGACAATTACGTTCACGAACTTGCCACCATACGCTTACGTTGACAACACTGTATAAATAACTATTGGAACACCCCCCCCACCCACACACACACACACGCATCTGATCTGGCCCCCTGTGACTTTTTTCTTTACCTGAAGATAAAGCAAATATTGAAAGGAAGACATATGATGGCATTCAGGACATTAAGGGTAATACGATGCCCGCTCTGATGGCCGTTCCAGAAAAAGAGTTCCAAAATTGCTTTGATAGATAGACTAGGAACCGGTGTCGGTATGTACCTTCCCGAGGGGAGTACTTTGATATTCAGCAATGATGTATGTAGCACTTTTTCTAGGATGTCTGCAAACTTAACGTCGGACCTCACATATGATTGATTATACTTTTTTTGAAGGACAAAAAAATTCTCCATGCTGTCTTATAATATAAAGTCACTGAAATATGCTAAATTAGGTAAGTTTGCTTGTATGATACTAAAGCAGAATTTTGTAGAATATTAAGCCCAAATGAGAGTTATCAGATTATTTAGAATCATTAAAATAGGAGTGTTGGGTCTTTAGATATCTGAGTAATATCAGAAAATGAAAATTATGATCTCTATTTCAGAGGCCTTTGAATGAACAGCATCAAAAATATTTTAAAAAAATGAACGAACAACCTAGCAGATATCCTGGCCCTTAGTAAATATTTAATAAATGGTTCTCATTAAAATAGTGCATTCAACTAGGCATGGTGGCTTACACCTGTAGTTCCAGCTACTTGGGAAGCTGAGGTGGGATCATTGCTTGAGCCCAGAGTTGGAGGCTACAGTGAGCTGTGATCATGCCACTTCCCTCCAGCCTGGGCAACAGAGCAAAACCCTATTTTTAAAAATGTTTAAATCACTGTGTTAATATACAGTGATACTTGTTTTTAATTTTTTATTTTTAATGGAGAAAAATTATATATTGTGATGTTTTGATATCTGTTATTGTGAAATAATTAACTCAATATATTTAACTTATTTATTACCTTACCTACTTTTTTGTGATGAAAGCATTTTTAAAGGCTCTCCTTGGCATTTTTCAAATAAAAGGTGATTTTTTTAAATGACAGATTTAAGTCAAAGAGACTGAATGTTCACTTCTGCTACCTCATGTGTGAAAGGAGCATTCCGTTAAATAAATAAATAAGTTAATTAACAATTTTTTAAAAACAGAATTAAATGTTTTGTCATTAAATTGCGTATCTAAACATTCAGTATAATTTCATTGATTTATTTGTTATTTTATGAGTATTTAAGGTTTATAATTGGGTGAGTTTTAAATCAGAATGTTATACATGCTACTTAATGTCACACTTCACATATTTTTATTTCATGCCTTTAGTATCAAGTTATTTTCGCTGTCATTATTTATTTTATTAGTGACAGAGTCTCACTATGTTGCCCAGGGTGGTCTTCAACTCCTGGGGTCAGGTGATCCTCCTACCTCAATTTCCCAAGTAACTGAGTCTACAGGTATGTGAGTACCACAACCAACCTACCATAGTTACTCTTTTTTTTTTTTTGAGTTGGAGTCTCACTCCGTCGCCCAGACTGGAGTGCAGTGGCAGCTCCCGCCCACTGCAGCCTTGATCTGCTGGGCTCCAGCGATCCTTCTGCCTCAGCCTTCCAAGTAGCTGGAATTACAGGTGCACGTTACCAAGCCCGGCTTATTTTTTGATATATTGTAGAGATGAGGGCTCGCCAAGTTGCCCAGGCGGGTCTCGAACCCGCAGACTCAGGCAATCCACTCACCTCAGCCTCCCAAGGCGTGGGATTACAGGCTGAGCCACCAAGCCCGGCTCCATAGTTACTTTTAATAGTTTTGTCTTTTAACTTTCATGCTAGAGTTAGAAGTGATTTGCATAATCCATTACAGTTTTAATTAGAATATTCTGGATTTGACAATATATTTCTGGTAACAATAGTTGCATGCAAAACTTTAGACTTTTGCTCCCCTCCTCCACATTTTGTTCTGTTTATACCACATTTTGCATCTTTTTATTCTTTGACTCCATTAATGATGTATCATGGCAGTTTCACTCCACCACTGAATGGTCAGACACAGGTCACTAGCCACATTCTCAGGAGCCACAAGCAGTTTAATGAGCATTTTTCAGAAGTTGCTGATGTCGGTTGCTAGCGGACCTTCTCTTCCCTGCCACGGTCACGCTTTAGGGTGGCCTGGTGGTTCCCTCACTCCATGCTGTCTTCCTCGAATGCGCTGGACCACCATCCAGAAGGCCTGCCTTGCGCGGTGTGGTGTTCACAGTCAAATCTGCTGCCAACCTTAGGACCGATGCTCATTATTTTTTTGGCTTGAATGTTTTTATAGCAAAACTCAAAATCTGTTCCCTATAACAAATACCGTATTTGAGTAGCATGTCTTCAGTTTTGAAGAATGCTACTCAAAATGGAAACATAAGCTGAAGGATGATTTTATTTTCAAATTCTCTCCGTTCTGTGGGTTTCCTCCTTCCCATGTCTCTGGACTTGTCTCCACCTTGGCCATTCTTGTCCGGCGTTTCAGAGACGCCTGCAGCAGGAGGCAGCGCTTGGAGGCGTGCAGGGGAGAAAGGAGACCAGCAGCGCCTTTGCAAGCTTCCCAGCCCCAGAGATGAGTCTGAATGCACTTGGGCTTGATGGTAGTTCCAGTCTGTCTGAGCTGTTCACAACTCATCTGAAAAGTTAAACTTCAGCATCAGGAAAGCAAAGATGCGCACTGATCCTCAGGGGCAGAGCCCCAGCCCAGTCACGGGCAGGATGGACTCCAGTGCTCCTGCCGCGCAGGATGGGTGACATTCAGCCTGAGCAGGTGTCCTCGGATGATGGTCTCATAATTAGTGCAGGTTGTAAAATCCCACCTTCCAGACAAACTTCCTTATCCCCCAAGAATACAGCTTCAGCCCTGTAAAGAAAATTGCTCAATAAAAATACTTTTTTAACAAAAAAATATTTTATTTAAATGAAGACAGTTTGTTATTGCTGGCCTCTAACTCAGATAAGAAATTGCTAAATAAAGAAGAAGATAGGAAAAAGTAAAGGGATCAGAAATCACAAGATACATTAATTTCCTTTCTCCGGGCTGGGTGCAGTGGCTCATGACTGTAATCCCAGCACTTGGGGAGACAGAGGTAAGAGGATTGCTTGAGCCCTTGAGTTCAAGACCAGCCTGGGCAACTTGGCGAGACCTTGTCTGTACAGTAATGCAAAAAATTAGCTGGGTGTGGTAGTGCGTGCCTGTAGTTCCAGCTACTTGGAAGGCTGAGGTGGAAGGATGGCCTGAGCCCAGCAGATCGAGGCTGCAGTGACCGTGAGCATGCGACTGCCCTCCAGCTTGGGCAAGAGAGTGAGCTTTCAACTCAAAAACATTTTTTAAAAATTTCTGAATAGACAAGTTCCCTATTTTAAAAAATCTATCAGTTTAAAATTTCTGGTCTCTTCTGTCTCTTTTCAGAAAGTGCCAGAAAAAAGCAAGAAGGTGTCGTTGGCAGTTCCCGGGTGTGTTTTGCGCAGCACACACCATCTCTTCCAGCAGAGAGCCCCAGGCCCCTGAAGCTCCGAAGCATCCTGGACATGAGCCCATTTACGGTGACCGACCACACCCCAATGGAGATTGTGGTGGATATCTTCCGGAAGCTGGGCCTGAGGCAGTGCCTGGTGACGCACAACGGGTAAGCGTGGTGCCACGGAAGTCCGCTCACTTGCCAGCGTTGAGGGCCTTTCCAGCAGGGTCTGGATCATGACTGGGGGAGTGCATGTCTCCCCTCTGAGGGGGAACGTCTGACATCTGGTACGGTCCCGGATACAGGGTCAGTGTTTGGACGTCACACTTAGCACAGTCAGAAAGACGTCTCCTGCCTGCGCCACTTCTTGGCTGGGTTGAGAAGGAAGAGGCAAAACCGCCTGTGCAGCACATGTGGGCTGAGGGCGTTTCCTTTCTTGGTGGCACAGCGGCTCCTGCACGTGGGGCTGCACAGCCTGCCTGCTTCTCCAGCCCAGCAGTAACTTCCTGGGCGTTTTGCTGTTTGTGGACTGTCTCAGCCAGTGTTGGCTGTGTGGTGTCATAAAGGGAAGGTTATAGAACTAAAGGAAGTGTATAAATCAGCTGTCTCCTTCAACAGCTGCCCTGTGTTCTGTCTGCCTTCTCTGCCGATGGGTCTTTATTACACCTGCTGGTGACAGATACACGTGTGTGTTTAAAATGCAGACACTGATCACTTACTTTTCTGCCTGTTACACATAAGCTGCCAGGGTTTCCCCGTGATAGGAGTACGAGAAGCGATTGATGTCAGGGAGCATGGACAGTGCACATGGCCTCCTGCTTCGTCAGCGTCATTGCCCCCTGGGCCTGGGAGGCCCCGTTCTTTCTTTAGGTCCCTTGATGTCCACTGTCTGTCATTCCTTGTTGGAATCCTTGGAAGCACTGTTAGATCTGAAGGCAGACAGCAGGAAGGAGAAACAGGGTGTTCCAGAATTAGGTGTGAGCAGAACAGCAGGCCCTGAGACCATGTCGCTGTGGAAGCACAACACGCTTAGAGGGCCACAGCACCCGGGGGACAGGACATCGGACGCCTGTCCAGAGAAGGGAAGAAAGGGCAGAAAGGGAGGAGGTGTGCTTATCTGCTGGGCCCCTCACTGTTCTCCTGTCTGACTGGCAGGCCCTGTGCACCCAGGTGCTGAGACTTGCCCAGGATCATGTGCTGAGGTCGCAGATGGGGAGTCGAGCCGTCTTTCCAACTCTCAGACCTAGTCTCTTGACAGTGTTTTGCATGGTCCCTGAATGGAAAAAGAAATCTCCCTTTATGATTTCTGAAACTAGAAACTTTTCTTGGCCACTATATTAGATTGGGATAGAAATAAAAATATAAAGCTAGAGATTAGATCCATGTTTAGTGTTTTTCACTGTGCTAACCAATTAAAATAACTCTTTACTAATATGAAGTAAATCACCAAAGGGCTGAAGCTGTTTATTAACAGCAGGGAGTTTGGAGAAGAGATGTATATAATATTACTGTTAACTATTTTATTTTGTTTGGTATTGTTTAATTTAAAAATTATACGGGCCAGGTGTGGTAGCTCATGCCCATAATCCCAGCACTTTGGGTGGCGGAAGCAAGAGGATTGCCTGAGCTCAGGCATTCGAGACCAGCCTGAGCACCATGGTGAGACCTCGTCTCCACAATAAATCGAAAAGTCAGCCGATCATGGTGGCACAAGCCTGTGGTTCCAGCTACTTAGAGGGCTGAGGTGGAAGGATCCCCTGAGCCCAGCACGTCGAGGCTGCGGTGACCATGAGTGTTCCACTGCACTCCAGCCTGGGTGACAGAGTGAGACTCCAACTCAAAAAAAAAAAAAAAAAAAAAGTGACACCAAACTTCACTGTTTAAAACTGTAATAAGTACTAGTTTAAAGGGGTGACTTTTCATAAAGCTGTGCTGGTCCTTGGGCCCTCGTAATGATTAAATGGCCCAGTTGGGGCCTGTGCTGAGTCGGCACAGATGGTGATTTGCTTCGAGTGATTCTGTGCCTGGCATGGCTTATTCTTTGATGTACTGACAAATATAAATGTTGTTCTCTAAGTTCCGATTAACTGTGATCACACAGCTGCTCTGTGGGTTGATCTTCATGCTTCAATTTGCTAATTAATATTCACAGGTTTTCAGCAGCACAGATATTAGGAAACTGTTTAAGTGAAGTGGGTGGGAAGTGGAGGGGAGGCTGACTGTGAGCTTGGTGCCTCCTGCTGTCTTTCTGTAGGAAGAGGGCTTCTGCCAGGGAATGTGCCTAACTGCCTTGGTTGTATTTTCCTTGTTTCTGTTATCGAGGAAAAGAAGCTGACATAGAAGGGAAGAAGAGATCCTTTGGGGATGTGGCTCGTGGGACTTGATTTTTGTTATTCTCACTTAAATGATTTAAAACCTAGAAAAGAAACGATGTCTTTTGTTTTTTAGCTAAGAGTATGAAGCTCTCGGTGGCTCCTGTTAATTTATAGTTTGCACTGTGTCTTTTGGGCAGAGCACAGGGAGTTGGGAGAAGAGACACAACAAATCTAGAGCCCTACATGGAAGGAGATGAAGGAGTAGAGAGATGAAGGTGGAAAGTACAAATTATAAAATTGTCAGTTAGTTATTGATTGTCCACATTGTGTATCTTAACATAGAACTTTTCAAAGTCATTCACTCTCGGTGAAGCCAGCAGGATGTTAACAGGAGTTGCTGAGAAATGCTTTGTGACCCTGTAAGCTTGGAAAGTACTAAATATAATTAAGGGTTCCTTACTGTGGAACATCTCAGAGATTTTAAAATGTTGATTCTCTGATTCCCAAATGGGGGAGTAATAGGAAACATCGTTTTCCAGACTTACTTGAAAATGCACCTTTTTTTGGCAGGAGTAGGTAGATAGAAAAACTTAAGGGACTGGTGTTTCTTTGAACATACTCTGGAAAATGCTGGTGTCTGCCCTGTTGACTCTTACATCATTACTTGTTCGCCCAAAGGAAGCAGCACGTAATTTCTTATGAGTCACATTTTGTACTGATTTTCCTTCATTCCGTAAAGTTAATAACATAGCACTGAACCCAGCCTTATTATTCTCGGGTCACTCTTCTCTTTTCACTAAAGGAGGTACAATGTCTTCTCTCCCTTTCTAGCACTACTTCTTGGGTAAATGTAGAGATTACTTTGTGTAACTCTGAGTTGCCACTTGATCCTTACACATTTGTAACTTTCCTCACACTATATACCTTGTGATTTGGCAGAGTTTACTAATGTAAATGATATTAACTGAAACTCATAATTCCATATAATTAGACAGAAAAGTGTGAGTAAGAATCAAACTGGGGCCGGGCTCGGTGGCGCAGCCTGTAATCCTGCACTTTGGGAGGCCGAGGTGAGTGGATTGCCTGAGCCCGTGGGTTTGAGACCCGCTTGGGCAACTCGGCATGACCTCATCTCTACAATAAAAATTTAAAAATTAGCTAGCTGTGGTAGCGCGCGCCTGTAGTTCTAGCTACTTGGAAGGCTGAATGGAAGGATCGCTGGAGCCCAGCAGGTCGAGGCTGCAGTGGCCGGGAGCGGGCACTGCGCTCCAGTCTGGGCGACACAGTGAGACTCCAACTCAAAAAAAAAAAAAGAATCAAACTGGGCCAGGTGTAGTGGCTCAAGCCTGTAATCCCAGCATTTTGAGAGGCCGAGGTGAGAGGATTGCCTGAGCCCCCAGGGGTGCAAGACCAGTCTGGGCAATTCAGCGAGACCTCGTCTCTGCAATTAATTTAAAAAAAAAATTAGTCGGGCATGGTAGTGCGCACCTATAGTCCTGGCTACTTGGAAGGCTGAGGCAGAAGGATCGCCTGAGCCCAACGGGTCAATGCTGGGATGGCCATGAGCATGCCACTGCACTCCAGCCTGGGTGATGGAGTAAGACTCCAAATCAAAAAAAAAAAGAGAGAGAATCAAACTGGTGTTATTATATTTGATTAATTGCCATGATACTCACATTTCCTAACGCCAACTGTAGAATCAAGTGAATTGATGACTTTCTTAAACCTCAGGTGTACAGCCAGTGAAGAACATCTGTTGAGTGGCTGGATGTTCATTTTGTAGAGTGCAGTTTCTGAGCTTTTGGAAGAAACGTTGCCCCCATGTTGTGAGAACTTCTCAGTGTCTTTATTCTTCAGGATCTATGCATCGTTTTTACAAAAGGACAAGAAAGCATGGGCAGAGAGCCCGTTTCAGCCTTTCATATCCTCTGCCCTCTGCCACTTGCCCGCAGCCGTCACCTGAGTGACCATTTCATAGTGGGCACAGCTGTAGGGACAGACTACTGGGAACATTCTTCAAGGCCGTGGGACAGGAAGGTCAACTTGATGAGCTCACCGAGGAAGTGGATGAGTGGATGTTACCTGAAGGGAGTTGTGCGTGGGCTTCCAGAATTTAGAGACCAAAGTGTTTTTAAGAGTCTTTACTGTCACTGTTTATATTGCCACATATTGCATTTGAACTCAGGACTGTTCGTGATGAAACCAGGATCCAGAATGCTGTTTTAATGGAAAGTTGGTTAGTCTGATTCCAGCAACTCCATTATGTGAACTCCTGTCCCGCACTTTGCTTGATGTGATCATAATGGCATGCTGAGAAGCAGTTGTTACTTAGGAACAAATGCATGAAGTTAAATCCTCTCGGCCCTGATCATAACTGCATTTCACTCGCTTATTTCACCAAGTGGCACCCACAGTTCTGAAGATAAGTGGGTGCCTTCAGCCTTTGTGGCACCCGAAGGACCTGGGGATATCTTGGTCTCCTCATCTCCTCACAGGTAGTGGGGCCCAGCCTTTCTGGCTTGCCACTGTTGAGGCAGAGCCCAGTGACAGCTGCTGTGTTTTAGCATCCTAGACAGATACTGACCTCTAAAGGAACCTTGCACATGCGGCTCCTCTGGCCAGTCTGTTGTTGTGTGTCGATAGTAAGTTCTTTTGCACTTGGCTTTGTGGTCGCCTTCATTCCGAACTTACGTGATTCTGAGTGTTAATTTAAAAAGCATTTAAACATTGTGTGCCCCTTTTGTAAGTCAGTAGAATGTATGTGGAAGGAACCTGGGACTTGGACTCACATCCGTGAGAAGCACCCTCATGCTCGTGTCTATGTCTTTCCCGCTCTTGTCATTGTGATCAGAAGTGTTTGGGGTTCGCTTTCTTGAGCAGTTATTAGCATAATCGTCTATTTCAGGATTGTCTTGGGAATCATCACCAAGAAGAACATGCTAGAGCACCTCGAGCAACGAAAGCAGCACGTGGATCCCCTGGTGATTAGCTGAGTCAGACTGTCTAGACCCAGAAGGCAGGAAGCATGACACTTGTGAACTGTCAGTTTCTCTGGCCAGACACCACCAAGCACACTGCTCACACTGCCAGCTACACTTAAATCTCACGAAATAGGTCTATAATATACGTCTAGACGTTGTGAATTCCACCCGTAGAGTCAGCAGAAGCTAGCATGGCTCCTCAAACTCGGTAGTTACAGTGTAAGAACTGTAAAAAGTTTGATAGTTGAGTTAGTAAGTAATTATTGGCCATTCTTAAAGTGAACAAGACAGAGCTGTCTCCCTTAGCGGACACACCAGTCTCAGAAGACTCCTGACTGGTTAAAATGTCTGCCCCTTGGCCCCAAGCCCACTTCCTCTTCCCTCATCTTGTGGTAGTCTTGTGATAAATCTGAACTTCCAAGTGACTTTAAAGGAGCTTTGCATCTAGACTTGCTGACAGTTAAATGGATTATCTAACGGGCACACTAAATTGAGTGTCACGTGTACGTATTTGTGGTCATAGCATTGATTCTTTCCTGCTGTTCCCTGTGTATCTTAGAGTCACAATGTGTGTCCTGCCATTTCATTAGTGAATTGTACCTAGACGATGTTTCTGCCCCTTTTGTATGATGTTTCTAGAATGCTTCAAGCAACTTTGGGGTCAAATGTATTTGTTTTAACTGGCTTTATGTCCTGTGGTTTCATGACTACAAATAAATTTTGAATGATCTCACTGTATGACATAAAAATTGTCCGGCTTTAGCAATTAGTGCCTGAATTTGTTTTGCCCTGCAACTGTCATGCCTACATGAAACGTGTCCCAGTTTGCTCACGTACACACTGATCATGTATTCCTGTTGTATGCTAATATTTCACAAGTGTGTCATGCGTCCTTGTTTAAAAACTACTAACCAGAATACCGTAGCAGCCACTCATTCATTCTGCTTTCTGCTTCACCTGTGATAATCTCTTAGGACTGCTTCTTGACTTTTCACCTATCTTTTAACGTAAGCATTAACAACTAAGGCTTTCATAAAAGCACTGTATCGTAACTTTTTTGGCCAAAATCAAAAAAGGAAAACATTGATAAGCGGACTATAAACTTGGGTTGTCTTACAGACTTATTCTGTGGGGTCTAAAGTTCTCCTGACTGTTTCATATGCATTTTATCTCAGTTGTATGTGCTTTCATGAAGATTCTGCATACAAGCGGGCAACCCTTAAATTACCTTTTCAAAATTGGTTAATTTTGGTTAAACAAAAAAGTGAATTATTAAGAGGAATTGGATGTCAGCATTTTCCTGCTTTCTTGGTGTGATGGGAATGAATCTTCCTTCTTGAATGGGATCAGGATCACTTCCTGTTCACACGTCCTCCCATTTTTTGTTACTTTTTTGTTGCCACACGTTGATCCAACCAGCTCTGCTTCACTGAGGTGTGTAGTGGGACAGCCATCTTACCATCACAGGATGGCTGCTGGGCGCTTGTATTCTCTCCCCAACACAACCCTTTCTGAAAGTACAGAATCAGGCTGCCCGCTTGGCTCTGTTCCTGTCCACAGAAAGGGCTGAGCTGTAGACGTGGTTTCTCTGCGCTTCTCCCTTGTGTTAACGGCAGTCTTCTGTCTCTTCAGGCGCCTCCTTGGCATCATAACAAAAAAAGATATCCTCCGTCACATGGCCCAGACGGCAAACCAAGACCCCACCTCCATCATGTTCAACTGAGCCCAAGCCACGAGGAGAGAGAGGAGACGGAAGAGGGGGTTCACCTGCTGAGCAGCACGACGCTCTGACCTGAGGGAAGCGTCTACCTTTTGCTCCTTAGAAAAAAGGAACGGAAACACACAAGCCAGGCTTCTGCAGCACAGTTGCCGATCATGCAGGCGGGACGAGGCGGCCTCTGGGAGGGCGTCGGGGCGGAAAGGCCTGAGCCATTCCCGTCCGCCACGAGCGGCAGGTCAGCACCTCTCACTCTGCACTGGGTGCGCTTGCCTGGAGGGCGTGCCAGCATGGCAGAGGTGACGCTGGATCCCCAGCACCTGGCCCCTTGCCCCGCGCTGGGAGGCCCGCCCGCAGTCCCTGCGTCAGAGGGATTACGTTGAATTGAGCCGTCTACAAACTGGAAAGTCTGGCCCTTTTTTATCGAAACAGTTCTGTTTAATTCACGAATCGTGTAGCGAAGCATCACCTTTCTACATTCCAGAAGAGCCTTCATTTCTCTCTCTCTCTCCTGAGCTGTGACAAAGCCTCTTGAAATCAGGGTGCCCTTCTGAAGCAGTCCTTTCTCATATTGAGATGAGCTGTGGTTTTTTCCCGTGGTTTCATCACGAACAGGGGTGCCTCTCGTGCCATTGCCGTGTGGCTGGCATCGCTCGGCGCATGGGCAGTGCCCACGCCCCGCAGAGGCTGAGCAGACGGGCAGAGTCTCAGTGACGCCAAGCGGAGCCTCGGCTCGTGTGCTGTGGGGTTTAGAATCAAATCCTTCAGATTTCAAGGATAAACAGTTTCCGTTTTGTTTTTTCTCCCACCTTATGGATGATGTGACCTGGTCTTATGCAAATTTTCCATTTCTGAAACTGCTCTGATATTGAAGTGCTGTTCAGCGTGATTAAACAAAGTGCTGCTGCTCTGGCACAAGAGAAGGAAGTGTCCTGCTGAGCTGTGTCTGGTGTTAATTGCATGTTAGAACACTGGAATTTTTTTCTTGGAATTAGATCAGTCATTCTTTTCTTTCCTCAAGATACTTCACTGCTGACACTGAAGAAGAAACGTAACTCATAACTTGCACTAATGTATATTTCTTTTCTTAAAAATTTACCATTCTTATTTATATTTTTATGGATTAAAATTTATAAAATACAGATCAGTTAATATCGCACCTAAGGAACCGTGCCCTCTTAAATGTGATTTTTATGGACTAATTCAGACTTACAAATGTGGAGATGTGAACAGACTTACGGTGGGAAGGAGGCCTTCAGGGGAGGCTGTGGCTAGCCCTGACCGCGTGCGCTTCAGTTGGGCCACTGCCAGCCCCTGGGCCCGTCTTCCGACCCGCCCATTCGGACCCACTCACTGGAAAGTCAGAACACTACAGATTACTTTGCAGGTTAAAACCAAAAGATAAATAGTGTTGCCCTTTCTAAAACACGGAAGTAGTAGAATTGCAAAGGCAGCACGTACATTTTCCATCTGAACGTCACCTCTGGATCTCGGGCCGGGCCGCTCCCGTATCTGACGTTAATGACGGTTTGAATATTGGCTGCACGTTTTCGCAGGACGAGTTAAAATGCACTGGAGTATGTTGGCGGTTTTTCTTGGGGATCGTGCTCTCAGCTCACAACTGGCCAAGGCCGTTCGCGCCAAGTACTGGCCTCGGCGTTCGGGGATGATGCCCCTCGGGTGGCGAGAGGCTTCTGCTCCCGGCTGCCTTCCGGGACGCCTCGCGGCGCGGGCCCGTGGGGCGCAGGCCCGTGGGGCGCAGGCCCGTGGGGCGCAGGCCTCGAGGTGCAAGGTCCGGAAGCCGCGGAAGC